TCCAACCTTCTCAAATAAAAAAGACATTTTAATACAAAACTACAGCACAGTTTCCCAACTGCTTTAGCTGCAGTTACAATGTTTCCTATTAGATAAAAGCAAATGTTGCATAAACCTCAGCTAACTTCTAATTTTTTTTTTTTTTGTCATTTTGTGCAAAATCTGTGAGTTCCAGGTATCATGTACTTAAACCCACACAAATCCACAAGAAAAATGCGACTGCGTGCACCTTGGGAGAATCCAATACTCACGTCGGTGAAAAAACAGCAGGAGCCTAACTCTACTTGTATAAGACTCCCAGATATTCTCAAGAGCTGAAGGATTTTACCTGTCCACTTTCTCCTACTGCAATTAGTCTGATACACCTCTTTCACACCCACTCCTCCCGCTCTCTCAGGCTTACAGACTGCTTGGAATCCTGCTCATCCTCACGTTAAAAGACAAAGCCCAACTCTGCAGAGGGTTACCACCTAGACTTCTGAGAAGCATACAGGTACAGGGCAATCCTTGATCTCAGTGATGCCAATGGTCTAAATATTTTTAAACTCTAAACCTTTAAAATTGGTGCAAGTTTGGTGGGCTTTTAGGTTTTGGGGCTTTTTTGTTTGTTTTTTACTGTCCTCAAACTCACTGATTTCCAGATGAAGAAAAAGGCATTTGGCTCCCTTGACATTTGAAGCCTCGTCACAGTTAAATTGTACATAGAGCCTTGTGCAGGAGAGACTATTGCTTTTCAGCTGGCGTTGGCTCATATATGTAGCCTCCAAACAAAGGAAAAAGCTGGCTACTTGGCATTTATTTTTAAACTTGCTCACAACCAAATGCAACTTCAAAATTCCACATCCACATAAGAGAAGGCAAAGCTTCTGAATGCACTCAATTAACTTTCATTAGCTACAAATGCTGTTACTTTACATACACAATCAACTGTGGGGATAAAGGAAAGTCTAGGTTATTTAGCTATTGCACAGCCAAGAGGCAAAAGGGTAGCGTAAGGGTTTCCTTCAGAGCCCTCAGACTCAGGTTCCTATAATTATTAGTACTTAAGAGTTTGAGTTATTTTTCCCTTCAGCAACTCCTCTACTAAATGAAGTGGATTTTTGCAAATGAGACACTGCTTGTCTTTCAGACAGAGCATAATGCAGTCTAGGCCATAAATTCTTTCCTACTGTGTACTTCGCAATTACAATTACTCACCGATACCATAACTCAACATGGTAATAAAAAATAATCAGTATTTATGTAATGCCTGTGGATTAAAACTTTTCTTACACTGTTGAAGCAAAGCAGAAGTTAGCTGGTTTTAGAGGTTATGAAACATACCCAGACAAGGAGCAAGAGATTTCTTTTCACTGTTCCACAGTAGCCCAGCATTCCAACTATGATGAGGAAACAGCAGACTGCAATCATGACTGGGTGGACCACAGGAAAGTAAGTCAAAATGACAGCCTCCTCCACCCTAAAACCAATCAGAATCATAATCAAAAAAAAAAAAAGCATAATCACACAAAAATGATACAGAAGAAAAACGTAATATAGCCATTAAAACAAAAATGGTGGATTAGCAGATGTGTTATTTCCAGCACCTCACAAGTTTCACAGAAATCTCTTCTATGTGGTTTTAGAGTCATATGCTCCATTTGGGTACCAGAAAATAACGCGTAATCCAAAATCTCTTTGGGGCAAAGGCAATCTTCCTGTCCTGCACTTGCACAGTATGTAGCACAGTGAGGCCCTGTTCCATCACTAGGGCTCATAAGCACTGCTGCAATAAAACTAACAGCATTCCTAAATCTCTGGACTGAATAAAGTATTCAAAAACCAAACAGTAATATAATATGGTTACATGTTGGCAAAGGGCCAAAAATTGATCCCTGTCAGAAGAGAAAGGCACAGGAATAAAACAAGACTGAATTCATATCTTTCTCCCTTCCCTAACTTCAAGTGATGCCAGAAATAGTTGCAAAAAGACACCTTTCAACAAAACAATAATTACCTCAACCGAAGGCTTCTTAATTCTAGAAAGCCTAATTAGGAAACTTGCCATACTGAATGAGCAACATATACCACAATCCATCACCCACACAGATTAACAGGTTTAAGGAAAACTTTACCTTGTTTCTGCAGTTAAAGTCAGAACATTATTCAGGTAGTCTCTCATCCAAGCAGAAACACCTAATACGCTGATGGACATCAACTAAAAAGAAAAGATGAAGTTATTTATCATGCATTTTAAAAAAAATAAAGATAATTCATAATTTGAGAATCAATCATGAGTAACATCTTTCATCCATTCATTTACCCGAACAGCATACCATCCCCAACACTGTACTTCTATATGCTTAGAGTTGGTTTGTTGTCCAAGTATTTGGGGTGCCAGTGACAATTATCTTCTCTTCCAGTATAGCTAATTAACGCCTGGAGTACCTTCTCCTCCACCCAGTGGAGCGATGCCAATGCTGGCTCAAGTCCCACCACTGCACAACATACCACAGAAACAACAGGGTGGGGTTATGCTGCTAAAATTAGTGACTCTTTCAGGGCTCACATGTGATATCCACCAGTCTGTATGAAACCATGAAGCCATCTTCAGGTGCACAGCCAGTGAAGAATAATCTGAAGCCCCATACAGGATACAACAGTACTGAAACACTGACATATAGTAGACAAATTTAGAAGAATCTGATTCTCTCGCTCATTCAGATAGTCATAACACGAACACTGTGCCTCAGTTTCCTGAACCATAAAATGACAATAAAACTCACTGCACTTCAAATATAAAGCCCAGGTCATCAAAGCATTTGGGTACCTAACCTGTCAGGCACTTGAGAGGCATAGAACCACTACACTTTCACCAGGAATGCTCCTACAGCAAGCTGAGACTGAACCCACCAAGAATTGCCACCACCTCAGCAGACCCGAATTACTGTCACCTGATGCCATCATGCACTCCAGCATACTTGGGGTCTACCAAGGCTCTGGCCTCTGATTTTCTTGAGAGCCAAATCTGAACGACATGGTCAGAACATACTCGCTGCACCAGCTTTTCTGCTGCTGGAGCAGAGGTACCGCTAGAGGACGAGGCACTCTTCATGGCACTTGTCCATGTATTTTGCACTGGGTAATACAATTACAGCAGCCAGGTAAGTCAGTGTGCCCTTCCTCCTGGAGGAGGGCTCACGTAACAGCCGCAGTCATCCCCACCTTTGTGCGTGTTCTCTGGCCCCGAGAGCACTGTGTCTCCTCCTGCATGCATAGGGCAGACGGAGCACTGCTCCCCAAAGAGAAGATGGGAGATGCAGCTACAAACGCATTCAAGGAGAGGAGAGAACCACTAAGCTTTCCTACAAAACAGAGCAAAGTTAAGGTTACTAATGCCACTGCAAACTTCTCAAACCGTTTCAGGGAATTCAGCTGGTTTGTCACACCCAAAAAGGAAGAATTTAGGAATATCCATCTCACATTGGCACCTAAACCTGAACTGCAGCTCAGGGGCTGAACCTGGCAGACTCTGGACTTCAGAAGCACCACGGTGTAGAGAGACCTAAGCATGCTGGCTCTCCTGAATACTAATGTTTTCATGCATTGTACAGGGGTATGCAGGAAAACCTCAGCATTATACTAACAGCTTCTGAAATCAGTGAGAAGTGCTAATCCCCCCTGTTGCCTTCAACAGCTGGCTTCCCACACCCCTTCATATTTCCCTAAAGTTGTTACGAAGGACAAATTAACCGGTTCAAACCTAACACATAAGAAAAGTCACTCTGTGTCCTTACTGGCTCCTTTGCCTGCAGCACGCCCACAGCAGGCTACTTCTGCCTTTAAAATTTCACAAGAAGTCCCAGTGGCTACCCCAAGGCTTCCTCCTGTTTCTCAAAACCGATGCACAAAGTTCATGCACTGCCTTGGTTCTGGGTGGTGCCAGCGAGAGCCCTGGGTGCTCAGCATGCTGCAAGAACAGTCCTGAAAGCTAGTGCATGCTACGAGTCCACTATGTACACTACATACACCTTTATGCTCTGTGGGATCTATTTTGGCTGGTAGAACAGTAGAAGTAAAGAGCGTTTTCTGTTGTGTCACGTGCAGGAAGCTGCAGGAGCAAGGAGAAGATGACTAGAATCTCCTCCTAGATAAACTCCTCAACAATGGCTGCCTCCTTGGAAGAAAGCATTGGGCAAATATACCACAACAAGCAATAAAAAACATGTTTCTAACGCAAAGACAGGTAAAGAAAACAGACAACCTACCTTCTTACGGTCAAAAAGTAACAGAAAGCATTTTTAACTTTCCACATCCCCTTGCAATGCCTGCTGACACACACAGACGTAGTGTTAGCTCGCACTTCCACTCTGTTTATAGTAAAATACTTCAGATAAATTTGGTTACTTTGCATTATAGCAATGGTGCTCAGGAGTGAGAAGTCCATCAAAACCACACTCCTCAGCAACTTTTAATAAGAGCCAGATGGTCCTGCTACAAAAACTGTACCAGAAAAAATGTTCACTTGCTAAATAACATTCTTCCTCCCATGGCAGACTGGTGGACTGCCTAGTCCCCACTCTCTACTAGGGACTCGCAGGCTGCACTCATTTTCTTTCAGCCCTTGGTACGCAGTAATACATTCCTGTACAGCAAAGAGAGGAGGTGGATTCCTTGGAAGAAGGCAAGAGATTGCTTCTTTAGCGGAGGTAAGATTTGGCAACCAAAAGAGTCATCATAAGCGTATTGTAGCCTGAAGGTTATTCAGAGACTATGGGGAGATCACGGAGCAAACAGCTAAAAGGCAGAGGGGACAGAAAGGACTTCCGAGAGACCAAAAGAAATGAGCAGAGCTCTGCCACTGAGACAATCCTTCAGTTTGCTAGAAGAAAGGACTTGCCTACAAAGGCAAATCAGGAAGGAGAACTTTTACTTTTGATCTGTCTGCCTAAGTTGAGTTTTCTCTACCTACGGATGTATTTTCGCCCACATAAAATCAGTAAGGGGAAAGTCTAGGCAGATATACCTCCAAGTTTAGATGAACAAGCTTTCATTCAAAAGCTTTTAGCCATTTAGGTCCCCCTGGCTGTTCTTCAGTGTAAATAGCTAACAGCCAATTACTACTGTTTCTTGCTGGACATAAATTACATGCCAGAAAATTCCCCCTGTAACCCCTGTGAGAGCCAAGCTACAGCTCACCTGCTCACCTACCCTGTGCCTTGAAATGATCTCATCACCATTCACTCCTTCAGGTGTTACTGACTTCTGCTACGCTTACAATGCACATATGGTATCAACCCAAGAGCTAGCTCAGCATTACTCTAAAAACAGAAATGCACAAGGCCTTACCTCAATGCTACACAGACATTACAGACAAATTACATACGCAAAACCCTCCTGCCAACCAGACAAATTCCTTGGGAGGTACCTCTGGCACCCTGTTTTGCAGGAAAGTCCAAAGTGAATTATTACTCCAAATGACCTGAAAGCCAGAGTGCTGTGACACACTGGATTCACGCCCATGAAAGTCAGTACCACTGTCAAACTGGGGCAGCATAAAGGCATGGCTCAGAAAGAGAATAGGCAAATGCTCAAGAAGTTCTTCTTGAAGAGAGAGCCATTGAACAGCAAACTGTGACTTCCCAAAAAAGCAATTCAGCAACAGGTTGATAACAAAAGGTGTATTTTACAGCACACAGCCTGGCAAGTGCTTGGTAGCTCTTCACTAGCAAAGGTAAGCGCTGGGAAAAAAGTATCCCTCCTGATCAGCAGAAGCGAGCCTCTGGGCAGGAACACCCTGCAGGATGAAAGACACGTTTGCAACACCAGACTGCCCTGCGTAATAATGACTGATGTTTAGTTTACTGACAAAAGATTATCAAGCACTAACTCACACCCATCAATCGACTTGCTCACCTGCTGCGTAGCCACAGGGGAAATCACACAGAGAACACAACACAGCGCCTGACCTCCACAGCATCCTGCTTATGTGCTGCCCTGTAAAGCACTAAGCATCCTCGAGTGCCAGCTGACATCAGGGAAGCTCCAGGCACCCGCCACTTCACACCACTTAGGGCAGAGGCACATCTTCAGCCAGCAGCACAGGAATGACGCTAACACCAGCGGTACAACAGCCCATGGGCTCAGTAGGCAGGAACAGTAAGAACCTCCCCAAAACCCCTGATGCGCATCCAAACCTACCAGCAAAGAACAGAAGTCACATGGCTGCAATTCACCGCTATGCGATTTTCAAGGAGTCATAGGCAGGGGCAAGGTCCTGATTACAGTTTTTCTTGGTCCATTTGGAGGGTGGAAAAAAGGCAGCCTTAAAAAAACCTGGGAGCCCCTACTTCAGCCACTGTTTTGTAACGTATTTAGATGTAAAATACTGTTAGAAATCTGTATCAAGCCATCAGATGAAAGGACGCAAGTTTATGAGAACTAAAAATACCAAAATAATTCTCACCACATTAGCAATTACATCATTTCTCCAGAAAGTTTTCATCCAAGCTTCTCTGATGACAGCCAGTCTGCTGTGCTGTAAACATAATATGATAGTAGGCAGTAAAACATGTTTATTTGTTGCAGCTGGCTGCACAAGTCACTATGGGTCTCATTCTGAACCATCACAGTATGTTATATAGCCATCAACATGACACTGAAGAGTTTACAAAACTGCCTGCTGTCATACTCTATTTTAAATATATTTTCACCCTGATTAAACAAAGGTAATAAATTTTATTTCTATATACAAGCAATATGCAGATCACACAATAACATATTAAAATTACAAACTAATTTATAGCATAAAGTTTTTAAGGCTTTCTCAGACAACAGAATTAAAATATCCAGCAGTGGACTCCAACTATTAGGAATGATCATTTACAAGCATAGTTTAAATTGTCTTTGGAATTCTTATACATAAATTATCCATCAAAATGAAAACATTCATTAAGCACATACTTTAAGCCCTTACTGTGACAGTACTACTCACAATGTCTTTGAGGCCATACCTAGCCTGGAAAATAAATCTGCATTTTCAATTAATAAATAAACATTAATTTCTGCCTTTGAGGGCGCAAGACCAATTGCTGTAGCTATTTACACACCTGTCTGCATTCTCTTATCCCTTTTTTTCAGTCAAACCCTCAAACACCTTCATTTTTTAACAATGAAAGTTGCTTTGCTCAAATTGGAGAGAAGGGTGGAGGTTTT